TTATCAATTAAGTTGTTAAAAAAAAGAAGTTTTTACAGTGAAAAATTTGACGTCATTCTTGAATTTTTAAGAATTTGTTTTTCGTTTGTGGGGAACAGTAAAGGTTTGGTTGATTTAAAATAAAGTCTATAAATTTGTTGTAATTCTTATTACATTTCAATAATATATTTTTGTAAAGCTTTTGTTGCAGCAATGGAAGCGGACTACATTCCAAAATGTTTCCTTTGTGCCCAGGAAGTTGTGGATGACGTTGCAAATGTCACTCGAGGCTTAGAAAAATTAATTGATGTGAGTTAGGAAAGGGACGATAATTTTCACCTATTCATAAAGAAGCAATCCTCTATAAAGATGCACGAAACCTGCAGGACAAAATTGTGCAAAAGACGCAGAAAATATATAGGCTCTTCTCGGGTCAATATTCATCACACTCTAAAACTAGTAACCCACTATTAGGCAAAGCGCCGAAATTTGAGACTGCCACTTGAAAAAAAATAATTTTTTTGCACTTTTCTATTAAATTTTGCAACAAACATTCGGCAATATAGATGAGATACCGCAAGCGCTACTTTACAGAAAAAATCTTGTAGAATCCGCCAATAATTGTCGAAAGATCGATTGGTGCCCGGATTTCCATTCATAGACCCCATAATTTAGTGAGCAGAGGTACGCCGCTAGCGCCATCTACAATTGGTCTCCAAAGTCCAAAACATGAAAATCAATGTATTCCCAACTCCTTCGAGCGGAAATTCAGTGAGAAACATTTCTATTCAGTGCAAAAATTCTGGCTCTTTCGAAGGCCGTTTTAGCAAAAAATATTCGTCTTGCGAAAAAAATGGTAGGGACCATTTTTGTAGATAATAATACGATCTTCCTTTTTTTTCCAAACAAAAATTGTCTAATTTGTATATTTTGGCAGATATTAGTGGAAAACCATTTTTTCGGACTTTAGGGGCCATTTTGAGCCCTTTCCGACCCAGCCGTGTTGGTAAAAGTTTTCACCCTTAAAAGCAACCGTCAAGAAATTGAGCCACAAAGGAAATCTGGACCGACTTAATGACAGCTTTGCATATTTTCAGGTCTTCAGTTACTGGACTAATTGTCTTTCAAACAGCACACTACTGTAACCTTATGTTAAACATTTATTTATTATATTTTAAAATGGTACACATCCGACAATACATCTCATACCGACCCGATATATTTTTTTATATTATCCATGTCGCCATGCTGTACAAAATGGACGATGACATTAAGTTTTTTTGTGTTCGAGTTTTCCATCTTTTAAGAACATTGTCGAAATACTGTGAATCTACATTTATTGCTGTAACATTATTAGTTTATTTATTTTAATAGTATTTTAATATTTGTTTCTTCTAATTTTTTATTATAGATGAAAAGGTATTTGTATTATAAATAACTAACAACGTGTTTTTATTTCTTAAAAATAAAGGAGACCAGGGGAGCTTAAAGGAGACCGAGAGTTGTCGTAAAAGAAATTAAATATCACCAGGGCAACTTAAAGAAGACAAGACTTAGAGCAAGCCAACTTCACTAGCATACCTAAGAGTGGTTAACTTATACCGAGTGTCCCTCATATGAAAGAGTCGTCCCTAGTTCTGACCGAAGCCCTGGAAAATTGCAGAAGAAAAGTAGAGGAAGTGTCCGGCTTCATCCCCATCGAAGTGGGTTAACAGGTTAACAGGTTAATAGGAAAAAACTAAGCATCATCCGACATATACCATTTTACCAGGAACAATTAGAAAATACCCAATGGTCCGTTATCTACTAAAATTATCTTGGTTCTTAAAATTCATCTTTGAGCCATTTTATTTTTTTTTTTTCAAATGGCAATAAATGGCACAATTTATGTTTATTAAACAGCTAAATACGTGGCGTCCACAAGGTTTAATTTAATTTGTTTTTACCTTTTTAACTAAAGATAGTACCATTCACTTTTTGAATAAATTTTAGCCAAATTTCACTGACCTATAATTTAAACTTTATCTGAGCTAGACCGAAGGATTGTAAAATTCTTTGGTATAAGGGTTTTTACAACGTTACATGGGCATTACGGATTTGACTACATCATAAGTTAAGAGGTTGGCGTATATTGAATATATTTAAAAAAAAAAGATAGTTTTTTCTGTTTGCTGTTTCTTTAACGATTCACCTATTTCTTCTGAATGTAGATATTCATTTCTGAAATCTGAGAGGGTAGAAGGCGTAAATAATGGACTTAATTCAAGTATCCAAAGTTTACAAGATTCTATATTTCACTGTTATTGAATATCATTGTTTAAATTTATCTTTTTCTCAGATATTTGCACACTACGCCAATATTTTAACCCCTGACGTAGTATGCTGTTTAAAAGATAATAATTAAAGAAGGAATCATGTAAGCTTTACATTCTTGTGTCGAACCCACCATTTTAATTTACAACATCATCAGAGAGAACTGCTATACCTCAGAAATCAACAATTAAACCCACAAAAATAGGTGCACCATTAAAGAACAAGCAAAAAGCCACCTACTTCCCATGGTCCATTGAACCGGATCTTTAGATTCAAGTACCTGCTTCAATAACTTCATCAATTCAAAAAAAATACAATCCAAATCTACTTCCAGTATATATGTACGTCTCTGGTTTATGCAACTGTGTAAAAATGGTAACGCATGCAACTTGTTAGCGTAAGTTTATTATCGCGTTGTACCTACGGGTTCAGAAATAATACCTTGTATTATTTTTATTACATTTAATTACTCGTGTGTGCGTTCGGTAAGAATATAAATTGTGTAATGTTAAGTTCGTGTTTTAGGATTTAAGCTATATTTTACTTGTAGTGTTTTCGTAATCGGTTGGTGCTTGAGCAAGTTTTTATATTTATATCTAGATTTATGCAAAACTAGTGAACAAATATTCCGACTGGGGTTAATACTAATTGTCTTATTAAAAAAGTAGAACACCATACGATATAATATTAGTTGTTTTATATAGGTCAAAATACATATTATATATTACTCAGCACATTTGCAATTCGTTCTACCTTGAATCGGAGTAATTACCTAGTTGGACCTTCTTTTGATATTATTCAAGAAGCATATAAATGTAATAATCCTTGCATGTATTGAGATTACAAGTAAAACTATTTAGTCAGTCTAGGACATGTTTCGGAAACCAGGGGCCTGCAGTTTTTGTGCGGCTCCGCCATGTAACAACGAATTACATTAAGTTCGGATCTGCAAAATGTTGAAGCCACCTGAAACTTTAGGGCCGTTATAACAAAACTTTAATATTCGTTCAAGTATTAACTCAACCAAGCATCTTGGAGTAAATGTTATCAAGCGAAAATACAGGACAAGTTAGAGAATATTCTAGGGATCTATATATCGCAAACACATCGTCTCTTAAAACACGTATTGGCGTATCTCAAAAAAATGCAAAATTGAGATATGCGACCAAACTTTTTATCCTCTGTTGAATGCACCTAGTGGCGTAATCCAAACGTTTATAGTTCTACGTATATCCCATTATTTTTTGCGTGACGTATCTCATTTTGATCAATAGACGTATGTCGACTTACGCCTATTCGTGATTTCTTTTTCGAACTGTGATGATATTAATATAAAAACATCAACTGACTTATCTCACGTTTTCGAGTTACGACTTGATTTAAGAACATTGTTTTAATTTGACTATAATCACAGTCTTCATTTCGCTGTGGTACAGGTTACACGTAGTGTAGTAATTTGTTTTTGGTAGGACTGGAAATCTCATTTTCCATGCAGCTGGTGTTGCAGATAAGCAGGAGACTTCCTCTGGTCCTTCTCCAGGTTTCGTAATGACAGAAGAGTTACCTTGTTCTTTTGGAATGATGTGTATGTGTCCTGATTTAGGATGTAGTTTTTTCGACTTCGCCAGATTAATCTCTATGGTTAGTGTACAGATTATGTTGGATTAAGTTTATTTATTGTACTTATGCTTTGTTTGTAATATTTATCTTATATCCTACTTATATGTTTGGTGCATTATTCAAGGGAACTTGGCTGTAGTCTGATGACTCTGGTGGGATATTTTTTAAAGTCAGTATTTAAATAATGCTGCAGTTGGGTCTCGCCGTTTGATATTCGTTACAGACTGAGGTCAGTTTCTCTTGGATTTTATAATTTTTTTATTATTCATTCTGTTTAACGGGGAGAAGAACACTTGATGTAAGACATATGCTGTTCATGCGCAGTGTGGGGCTATTTTTCCCTGGATTTTTACTTGGGTCTATGCACTTATATTTTACCTTTGCAGATTGTGAAGCAGAAATTAATTTTTAACATTAACTGCCGTGGTTTTTCCATGGGAAACTGATTCTCACTCATCGCTCGCCTTTGGTACAATATTCATAATTTTTCGTAAATTTATCTCCTTTAATCTTCGCTATTGTAAAAAGTATCACCAGCTACGGCCACATGGTGCTGATTTGGATATTAATAGTATTTTAATTAATTTTATCAGACGGTAAAATAATTAAATTAGATTTTTTGATAGCGGGATCGTTTGATAATTTAATATTTAGCTACTGCAAGGTGTTGATACTTTAATATTTAGCTACCTTAATATTTTGATACATTTAATCTTTTGATACTCTAATATTCATCTGCTTTAATGTATTGGTACTTAAATTTTTTTGGTACACTGTTTTGATACTTTTATATTTTGATACTTGATCATATTGATATTTTGACATTGGAGGTTCTTAAAAAAAATTATTTATTATTTTTTGTTTTAAGAGGTTATAATTTGTAGATTACCAATATAATTTGGTTACTTGATTTATGTTTACCTTTTCTTGTTTGGACAGTTTTCAACTTTTAATAAATCGTTGTTGTTTTTGGAGTTGGTCGTTTTCTGTACCAGACGTGCACGGTAAATTTAGTTCTTAATGAAGGGGATTGAGGTCATCTGGCGCCCAAGAAGAATAATCGATCAACTTTAGTAGAACTTAACCCACTACCGTCTCCACATGAGTGACCCGATAGGCATACGATTGTGATCGACAGTCCACCGTACATTGTAGCCCGTTGGGGCGGTTACATCACATTTTGCACATTTGGTCTGATTTTCTGTAGTTTCTATATTATTGGTATTTTCGCTATAATTATTGTCAACATTTTCCATATTGCCACCTTTAGTAGTATCTTCTTGCGGTTTGTCACTTTCTGTAATTTTTTCTTGCGGGTTGTGTGTTTCCAGATTGCGTCTTGTTGAGCTGTCCTTCTGTATCAAATTACCTTAAGACTCTTTCAAGTTCTCCTGTGGTAAGTAGATTTTTAATAATTTCTTTTGGAACAGCAGGTGTGGACAGACCGACTTTTATACACCATCCTTTTTAATGCACGTATTTGTACAAACTTATCATACATTTGTATTCTCCATCTGAACGGGATTGGATATCAATTAAATCTACTTGACAACGTCTATTGATCTCCAAAAATATCATTGGTTCAACCAGTAGTTTCTTTTTTAACAAATTGTAGTTTATTGTGTTACACAAGCGCAGATATAACTTAACATCTTGAGTTATATTCTTGTACTTTTTCTTTTACTTGCCATACGATGTTTACCACCATGTCGAATATAGTCAAATGTGCATCATGTAAAACGTGAAACATTTCGCCGTTTGTAACGTAATATTTAATGCAAGATTAACATTGCTCATACACAAGCAATAAGCTTTTCAGCGTCTCTATGTCAACCGTCGATAATGTAGAGTTATCTTGATTTTAGTATTTTTTACCATCTTAAATGATTCTAACATTTCTTGGTAAAAACTAAAAACTGTATGTACTTTTTGTAGACACTAACTTTTTAAAAACCATCATTAAAACCCTGTTTTGAAAGATCGCGTTTACTCTCTTCGGGTGCCATTTTTGAACAGTACGCAGCAAGTGGTAAAAGATGACGAAATAATAATTCCTTCACCCATATTTACCCTTTAACCGCTAAGGTGTGGTCTGCGAGACTCCGGCTGCATTGCTTGACTTTTAATTTTCACCAGAATTTTTTCTCCACGGTGGGGGGTTCAGGTACCTTTCTATGAGTGAAGAACTTGTGTGTAAGCTGGCTATGTGAGCGGACGCTTTGTTTTTAGTAGAGCGCAGTCATTGTTCTCCGAGGCCTCCCGTTAGCGATTACGTGACGAAATCAATTTATGGAAATTTAAGAGAATCACTCTCAAAATGAACAAAAAAAAAATATTGACGAAATGCATCCTGACGACCCTCGTTTTTCGAATTTGGCTCAGAAAATGTTGAATTTATAAATAGTGAGGACGATTTGGGTGGAAATGAGGATGTTGTGAAAGAGATTCATGAAAAATATTCCGATTTGGATTACTCCGACAATGAAACCAGTTCAGAAAGCGAGCCAGAAGAGTCCACAGAAGAAAGAAAAAAGTTTTACTATGAAAAAAAAAAAAAAAACAAGTTTAAGTGGTAAGGTTTTTAGTTTTTTGATAGTAGGATTGTTTTTAGATACAATATTTTTTTAGGCGCAAGGATGTAAATGTTAGAACCAGCCAGCATAACATTGTTATTGCGCTACCTGGATTACGTGCAAAAGCGACTCGGCACAAATCCAAATCCCGAAGACATGGTCACAGAAATAATTAATTGGACAAACGTAAAATAATGGAAATCAGACAAAAGTGCAAAAACCCAAATAGCCCAATACTGGCCACTGTTGATACAATCGAAATAAAAGCTTTCTTGAGTTTCTTGATATATTCTGCTGTTTTTAAATCAGGAAATGAGAGCATCGAATCTATTTTTGCCACTGATGATACAGGCCGAGATGTTTTTTTTGCTTCGCTTTGACGATGCTATAACTCACAAAAACAGACAAGATCAAGAAGACCCAGTACCGCACATTTTAAAGATTTTTGACAAATTTATTGAAAATTCGTGTCTTTTCTCTTGGAACAAATATAACAATCGACGAGATGATGGTTGCTTTTAGGGGTCGTTGTAAATTTAAGGTGTACACAAAAGTGTGCCAGATATGGGGTAAAAATTATGTGCCTTATTGATGACAGTAACAGCTATCTCTACAACGCGTATATTTATTCTGGGAAAGGCTCTGATTCAATATAGAGTAACATACCTAAATAAATAAGTCGTTTTCTCCCGATAAGGAGTTATCAGCATCATCAGATTCCTCACTTCCCACAAAAATAATAATTGGTTCCATTGTTTCCTCTATTAACATACCAAGTTTCCAGAATTTCTCTTTCTCTGCTATGACATGTCTTGTAGCGTTTTGCCAATTGTCCGGTCAAATCTTTGGAGTCACATAATAGTTAACGAACATCTTGAAGTTTTAATGTTCTATTGTTTCTCGCGACATATCCTTTTATTTGAGCCCAGATTAGTTCAATGGGCTTAAGTTCACAGTAAAAAGGTGGTAACAGCAATACTATAATTCCATATTCTTTTGATATTACGCAATACTTCTTAAATTTTGGTGAATGTTATTTACATGCCTGCAATAGCTCTTTTTTAATCTCTTTTTTGCTACTATTTCTTTGGTTATTAGCCAATCGGAGAGTTCTTGCTTTTCAATTTAGTGTTAGGTAACGGTTCCTTTAATCTTGAATGGTAACTGGCATTGTCCATAACTATTACAAAATAGGTTGGTAATAAATCTATCATTTGACTAAAATATTCCTCAAAAACATCAGCAGTAATTTTTTCATATTAGTTTCTCGTAGACTAAAGCAAGCCATTATCAACAAATCCTTTATCTCCTCCAATATGAGTGATATTTAAACGGCGACCTTCGCCATTTGGAAATTTAAAGCATTAGACAAACCTTCTATATATGCCTGACGAGCATTTGTAACCTGTTTATCTCGCCAAACGTTTTGTACAAAATGTCATTCAGTTATACATGTTTCATCCATATAAAAAATATGTTGTCTTCTCTTCCTAATTTTCTAATTTCCCTTGAATATTACCCCCTTAAACAAATAATTTCATCTTTCTCTATGAGCTCAGATTTTCTGTCGTTCTTCTCCAAAGCGAAGTCTATTTCATGTCAAAATTTTCCACAATTTGTCTCTTTTAACGTTTGGCAAAGTTTCGTCTCCATTAATGTCTACTAAAAGTTTATCCAAAGTAGGTATCTTTTTTTTGTAAATAAAACAAATGCACTTTTCTTCATAGTAGTTGCTTCATAGTACCGTTTATTTGAATGGTTTTTCTCCCAGTTAATGTTTTAGGTGCTACTGTAATACTTCCATCCTTTTGTTGATTCAAAATTCTATAAATGGTTGCTTCTCCAACTCCGGTCATATTTCAACACTTACAAACTATACTCCGAACACTACTATTGAAATATTCATGTATAAGAGTGTTATGTACATTTAAAACTAAAATTTCATATTCATTTTTAAATAAACTATAGTTAGTTTACTTTGTCTATACAATAGACACCGAAATGTAAATTAATCACATTTTATGAAGAAATTGCACTTCGAAAAAGTTCTCTTGAGCTAGTTTTAATTTTAGTTTTTTAAATAAAAGTGTGCGAAAATCTACCATGTTTGATTTTTCTTATTTTAAGCATATTTATTAATACTTGGTAACTGCCATCTACTAACTATAAATTAGGACAAGGCTATTTTAAAAAATCCTGTCAATGGAAAAGAAGACTTTTTGCATTATTTGTCAATATACCTATTATTAGTAAAACAAAAATTTTTATTAGGTCATTGTTTATTTTAAGAAATTAATATCTGTTATATAAATCCTTCATAAACGATTTTAAAAATATTTTTTATTAGTTTTTTTTTTATAAAATTAACACGTCTATGTCGACTGGGACTGGGATTAATATCTATTCATATTCATTCATAATAAATGATTACATGTGTAAAATGTCATTTCACTTCCCAGTTATTAAACATAAAAAAAACAATTTCGTTTATTATCTGTGATTGTTTATGTTCTGACTTGGCGTGACGATAAGTTGAATGAAATTTATTCCAGAATATCGAGCTTGGAATTTCAAGAGATCTTAATCCTAGAAATGTCCATCAACTTAAATTGTGTTCAACGACACGCACCATTTACTATACAAAATCGATACCGATGTCAATTGTTACGAATCTAATTTCAATAAAAGCCTGTAACGTATCATTATTTAAAGCTCATAAACTCTATCATTTTAACATCGATGTCGTATTTGTCGGCTCTAGTGTCCAAGTCATACTTGTCTTTTTTTTTATTTCTTTATTTACTACCTGTTCTGGATCAGTACACATCTGTAAATCAATAAGTTAGCTATTACTAGGTTAAGAACCAGGGGATCGAGCTCTTCGACGCTTAAAATTTTGAGATTTCAAAAGTTAGTAAATTTTTGCAAATTAAAAGTTTAAAAAGTTTGAAAAAATGTATATAATTATATAATGTCATTTAATATATTATAATAATTTTCATCTAAATAGTATTCTGCAAATTCTCTTGACCGGGTTCATCTATTCGGGGCTATGGATCTAGCATCTGTTTCGAGTCCACGAAGCCTTTATAAGATTAAAAATGACTTTGATTAAACTTTTACGTTTGACTCGGGAGAATGCAACATAGAGCTGGTCCTGCGTAAAAAAATCAGTCGTTAAATCAATGGTGCTGTTTATATGGGTAGCTGGCATTCGATTTTAATATTCTTCGATAATGGTGGCTATTGTACGATGTTCTTTTTACACATCCAAGTCTAGTTGAAATCGAATGGTCCGGTTTTTAAGGAATTCTTTGGTATAGTAACAGATACAGACACCATATGAGAAATGGTCATCATCAGCTTGTTTGTTGTAATTCCCGTGTGGAAAAGATATTCTAACTTGCAACTTAATTCCATGCTTGACGGTTTTAATAATATAACGAAGAACACATCGCTTATCTTTGTCCAGAAATGGCTTCTTATTCTTGTCTAACTTGGGCTTAGGATCGTATAAATAGAAAAGTGTCTATCTGGCAACCTCGCCTTTGTCATAGATAGCCAACATCCAATGTTTTCCGCCTAGTTACGCATCTGGTTTTCAAATGTGGAACGGCACTAATAGTATTTCAAATTCATTATCGCCCATTAGAAAAGGTACAGCCGGATACGGGTTTGTATTTCCTTTGATATGGTCGAGAAAATTTTCGTTTAAGGCATAAAAATTGGCTGTGAATTTTGGATAAATAAACGCAGCCTTAATTTGAAATTGTTATACTATC